GCCAGCTCGGCCCATCACCTGTGCATCAGAAAACTGCACTCTGCCTGCCACCCTTGCGAAGTCACGAAGCTTAATGCACCCATCGGCGATGCATGCACGAATGACCTCGCACACATCGCTAGAGCGACCCTCCTTGTTTTTGATGCGGATGACGCCTTCCTCGGCGGAGCCTAAGTCCACCTCAACTCCCAACATCGTGGCGACATGAGAGAAAGGATTAAGCTTATCCACCGATGCCGAAAAGCCAAGCAACGAAGACAAGATTAACAGGGTGTCCATGGCACTCGGGACTCATTACCGGGTAATCGTCCACAAAGTTAGCCCAAAACAAGTGAACCTCTAGCCCTACGCGCCAAAAGAGCCTAGCCAAACGGTTAAAGTGCACGACAGAAGCAGTACTGCCAAAAGGCAGCGCCTTCCCTTCGAAGAGTCCAAGCTCCGCACTGCTCGGATCGAGCAGCGCCACGACCGAGAAGGCGCGACTGTCAGGATCCAATGCAAACTGTCGGTAAGCATTGTGCAAGTCAAAGGTGCACAACTTTGGGAGCCACGAGTCTCCCTTCCAAGCAGGATGAACGCGACCGACCAACGGGGGGCCGACCTCCATGTCAAGAAAGAACTGATGCTGCGAAGTGTGCGCACGAATCCAAAACCTGCAAATGGCGATGATCTCATCTAGTGCCCGCAAATCAAGCTTGTCACCGTACGAGAAAGACCCGTTAACCAAATTTTCGGAATAATCATCTATCGGTCTAAGTTTGCGACGGCCATTCGAAGACTGAATGACTGCGAAGCGGCGCACAGGTGCCCACCGATCCCCGTACCGGCGCTCCAACTCAGCTTCAGTAAGGGGGCCTTCCAGGAAGCCCTCGCGCACCTCGGCCAAGGTCTTCTGCCATAGCTCGTCCGAATGCTCACTGACACCACCCGACCTGACTTTACCAAGGAGAGCCGGGCGAATGAACTTGCAAGCTTTCGCAAACTCTGTAGCAGTCCTCTCCTGTGGTCTAGGCTCACGTCTGAACACTCCAGTTGGTTTCTG